CCGGTTCGCATGTAAATTGATCATGCAAGGAACCAAGGGAGTTTTAGGTCTAAAGTGTTACGGGGGTCCTTATATCCAATTCAATCACAAGAATTGCTATGCACCACCAGAAAATCCTCACTTTTGCTTTTCAGCTTTTAAAATCTAAAACCAAATTACTCCCCAATAAGCTGCAGTATTACTAGCAAATAACATCGGCCAAATAGCTCAATGTAACAATTAATGGAGGTGATCCATTTCTTGTCACTATAGTAAGGTGAGTACAGGGGGCTTCCAGTACAAGGCTCCAATTGTCTGAAATCTCCACAAAAAAGAATGTGAATACCCCCAAAGAGAGAAGTGTACCTCTGTCGCAATTGACGTAACCTCTCATCCAGCTTCTCCGCTTCTCCGCTTCATTGGTGTTCATAAAGGACACTTCATCAATAATCAAAAGTCGTGCATTTGTCCAGCTTTCAATGTCATCCTCTGAGGGCTTCTGTTTGTTTAAAGCAGTCACGGAATGGGTGGTTTCACCACCAATAGAGACAGCTGCAACACCAGACATTGCACTAACAATGATGGTTCGCATGTCAAATTTGAAACCCATATTCCCTGTAAATTCTCTGGCATATTTCAAGATTTCCTTAACAACCCTGCTTTTGCCTGAACCACCCGCTCCTGAGAGGAACATCAACAATGGCTTGTGAAGTCTCTTAAGCCTTGAAAGCTTCAATAGCTTTCTCTTTTGTTCATTGAAGTCATGGCGAACTGAACTGGGGTTTTGTATGGAGTCTCCATAAGAAGAAGGGTCAACAGTTTCAGCATCTTCATAATACGTCAGTATGTAGGCTGCTGTGACAATTCTGAATGCCAGCTTCTGTTCTCTGTCCAGATTCAATTCCTTTTTGTTTGACCACTGTATAATAGATAAAGCAGTACCATCAGCCAGGTTCACATTGGAACTGTGATCAGAAGATGTATCCACCACCCTTCTTCTGACGTTGCGGTAGGTCAGAACCATAAGTTCATAAGGTGAAGGCTTGTCTCTAAATCTTTTGGTTGTTTTGCTTTGAGTGGATGCGTCAGATGTATTTAAGCCATCGCTGGTAGCTGTTTTAACAAAAGCTGTACCAGCTGAAGACTGTATAGGCCTTTCTTTCATGCAGGGTAGGCCCACAAACCCACATCTTCTAGCTCCCTGACTGCGAATGTTTTGCAGAGACATTTTGCAGTCAATACCATCATCATTCTCATCCGAAAAAGAACTTGATGCTCTCTTATTTGAAGAGGCCAATAAATCAAACAGGCCTTCAAAGAACATATCACCAGCATCAAACTCGTCTTGTTCTTCATTTTGTGCTGAGTCACTTCCAGTATTGCCCTTAGGAGCAAAAGCCTTGGTACACTTATTGATTGGATCTTCTCAGGCTGGTATTCTCATACGATTGTAAAACATCTGAACATTGGAGAGAATCTCTCTAATATGTCCTGGCAATTGAATACCATTGTGGTACAGGTGCATGAATTTCCTGTGAAAAGATCCATCAATTGTTAAATCATCAAGGCTCCTGAAAGGGTGATACAATACAAGAACGCTTCTGCAATATTTCTCCACACTTGGATGGACTGGATAGCTAGGAGTCATGGTAAGCATATCACCACCAAAACAGCTGGTATCAGGAAATTCCCAGTGGCTGAATTGAGCAAGGGCTGGGATTTTCCTCTGCCTTATTACTTGCTTCTTGAAACCCGGATGATTAGGATCATCTAAGTCATACAGAGCATCTTCCTGCCCAGCTCTGTCGGTTCGAACAATCTCATAGTCCTGGAAAAAGTCAACCATGCAGAGATGTTCAAAATGATCTGATGGCCTTTTCAGATAGTGCAATGCCTCATTGGACAGAAAGCATCCCTCAGTATGGGTCATCACTGACATTGGCAAGGATTCGTTTCCTTGATCTTGGACCATTATATCAACAACTTCCCTGATAGGAATGTACTTGAAGTTCACTGAGAATGTGAATCTGGACTGGTTCCGTACAAGATAAGAAGCCATGGGAGCAGACACCACATGTTCTGAGGTGCCCACAAGAACAGCCCCCATCAATCTTGAAAGGCCCTCAAAAAGAGAATTATCATGCCTCTCCTCCCGAAACCTGTGCACAACATATGAAGCAGCTTTTTTAAGTTCTGCAGTGTCTTCTTTTTGAGTGCCCTTGACAGTATAGCAGGTTGTGTATATAGCTGGTCGTGCACCCATTGGTACTATCACATTGGAATTGGAAGGAGCCTTGCTGGTACTGATTGCCTTACAGTAGCTGTTGGTGTAGGCATCTTTGGCAAGGCGTTTGGGCCTAATTGTGATACTGTGCTGAAGCACACTGGATCCTGTCCAGCTGAATTTTGCATAGGGTTCTTCGCTGTACAGAAGAGATGACTGCATCTCCTCTTTGTCTGGGAGGTGGCAACGTCCCTCATCACCTTTCTTCCAACAAGTCTTGGTGTGACCAGCCAAGTGGTGATTGTACTTAAGGTTCACTTTGGCAGTTATCTTGGGAGTAGGAATTAGTGGACTTTCTGGCCTTGTGGAGTTAAGCACGTCAAGTGCTATTTCTGCTTGAATCTCTTCCTTTGTATGGCCCCAGAAAGATTTGTCCACCACTCTTTTAATTGCCAACTCATCTGCATGGTAAGTACAATCGCATGTAGAGCATCCTGCAAGAATTCCCTCCTCCACTTGGCAGCCTTTCTTATGGCGCAGATTCCTCAGCTGCTGGTCACTAGCATACTCAAGTTCTTGTTCATTGCAATGGGGGCACGTGTCTTTACTTGCAGTTACCTCTTGACTTGGAACTAGTTCTGTGCTTATGATTCTATCAACAAACTGAATCACTTCACTTTCAGCCAACTTTCTCACTCGATCTGAAGTAGAATGGAGTGCAGCCAATGTCTTGTTCCAGTCTTTTGTATACACTAAAATGTGTCCATGAAGTGTTTTGCGACCTTGTTCTTCAACAGCCAGCACATAAGCATTCAATTTCCCGAAAATGCCTTCTTGAAGATCATTTTCACCAACTAGATGCTCTAGCACCAAGTCTATTAAGCACTCAAAATTCAGGGCACACAAACCTGGGTACTTTAGTCTTACAGCATTGAGGTGATCCAGTTCCAGTGCTTTCTCAGCAGGAGATAGATCAGCGAGGGAATCAAGCCAATTAAGGGTATCCTCTTCTCCAGACAAAGCCAGGATCCTTAAATCCAGAGAATCATCAAAAGAAACAGTGAACATCACCTTTGGACATCCAAAATGATGCGTGAGGCTTAAGGACTTTGCTTGTGCAGCTTTGGCTGCTCCATTCGTGTGACACATGTTCTTCTGGACACTTTTGATAGAATCCAAGAATTTATCCCCCCCCACTGCTTTTTACAGGCGGTAGGCCATTCAGTTTTCTGGCGATTGCATCATTCAAATCTTCCTCACTCACGTCACACTTTTCTCTCCCTCCATTGACTCTCCATAAAGCTCCATTCAATGCCCTTGATCGTTCAAAAATGTTGTGCACAACAAGAACAAAACAAGCCTCATGAAAGGCTGGGATGGAGAGTGAGAGGAGCTGTTTCAGGTAACCACTGGTCGAGACCTTCACATTGAAATCGCTGTGGCATCCATATCCATAAGGGAATTGAAGGGGGAAGGCACGCATCAAAGTCTCATCCTTGTAGTCCTTCAATATTTTTGCGGATGGTCGAGAAGTTACGTATGGAATGGCATTGCCACACTTGCCCCGTATGTCTGCCAGAGCTTTGTTGAATTCCTCTTTGCTGCAACACCCAGCAGTTTGAATGCTTCCATCTGGAAACACAACATTAATCTCTTCTTTGATCTCAATATCAGTGTTGTCTGATTCAACGCTATGAGAGTTGTCAATAATGACAGGGGTCGGCAGATCTGAAGGAAATTCAGCATCATGATAGAGGCAATTGTTTTGTTTAAGCCAGTTAAAAGCATCTATACAGTACTGAATGTTTATTGTTGCTTTTCTCATGACATTTGCTTTTTGCTGTGGAGTGAATGGACCGGACAGGACTACTGCAATGTTTTCTGATTGTGTCAGTTCACCCACAGTTTCCAGCACGCCCATGGTATGGCTTGGATCCACTTCATAGTAGAAACTGTGAAAACCTCGAATGGATCGATGACACCCTCCCCAATAAGTAAACAAATGCCCTCTGAATCTCGCTTGAGAGATTAGAGCAAGCTCAATCTCATTCAATTTTTCCAAACAGGGAGGAGCCTTTCCAACTGCCATATTGTTGGCAATGGCAAACCTTGGAAGCTCTCCTCTCTTCAGTTTGCGTGGTGTCAATTCACCTTTACAATCAATACAACACATGACCTGATCACTTCTTCCCCCATTTGCATTGTAGGTTGTTTTAATTTTGCTTCGTGGAGACAGCAAGCATTTCTGGAGCTTGTGTGTTGCCTTTTCATTTCCAGGTACCTCTGTCTTGTAGCTGTTTCGTAGGCTCATTGGCAGGTCGGGATCTCCCTTCAGGCATGCAAACTCGCAGTACTTTTGAAAAGTATTCAGTCTTATCTTACGGGCTTCTTTGGGTTTCATGAACCTGTCACACACAATACAAACAAGGCCATGAAGGCTCCTCGAGCTTGTATCATGGTGGAGTAGAGTATCGATAGCCTTGTTGAATTGCTCCATGGTAGTGCTCAGTCATTTTGTGTTGCCGTTGTTTGTTGCTGTTTTGGGGGCGAGTCTTTGTTTTTTGCTTCATTTTACACCCCTTAAATCACTGGTTTTCCATTGAAGGGTACACACTCCTTAAGTCTCATGATGAGATGAACCAGCGGGCTCAAACAGCTAACTACGGTAACCATATTAAAATAATCATAGTTTAAGGTACTATCAATTTAGTTACTGGTTGTTGGCAGACGCAACTAGACATAGTATATCTAGAAAATCTATTCTCGATATAGTTTTTGACAGTATGATAGACAATGCGTCTGATAGCCTGCTACCCAATTGTAGCAATAGTAATCATGTCTGAATGGATGCCTAGATCAGTCTATGTGGATGCCTAAGCTAGACTGAATGGATGCCAATGCTAATCACAGTATAGCTGCTGTACATGTTAATCTTGTCTGAATGGATGCCTAAACCAGTTCAAATAGATGTCAAAGCCTGTTCTGAATAGATGCCAAGTCTGATCACAGTATTGCTGGAAGAAGAACAGACCCAAGCGTGAGGAATCATCTACATGGTCATACTGCAAGCTTCGCAACTAACCCTGTGCCAAACCTAGATTATTTCATTTCTACTGTGTGGCAAATGATCATAGTTTCAAAATTCTCAAATTGAAAAACAGTTCACTACTTCTAGTTCACAAACCTTTCGAACAATGGCCAACACCAAGAAAACTACTCGCTCAACTGCTCCTACTGGAACTGCAGGAAAGAATGCCCCTGCTAAAAGAGGTTCTCCTTCAACTAACCGCAAGAAGAAAAATCAGATTAAGTCATCTACGAAGCCGGCTGGATTCTACCTCCGCAGTGAAGTTCTTGAAGGAGGCTTTGAAGCAATTTATTGCACCAAGAACTCCATGGTGACTGATGCCTACACCCATCCTGCCATTGAAGCTCTTAGAGCCAACGATCCCGATGAGCCATTGTGCCAAATTGGAATCATGGGAGCTTATTATATGAGGATTGGTCCTGGAAACAACGCCCCCCTCCTCAATGCCACCAATGCTTACACACGCCAGGTGTTTATTAGGGCCCTTGATGAGGGAGACATGTTGCCAGAAGCTAGACTTGAGGCTTTGAGGGTTTTTAAAGAGTTCTTGGAGAAGCGTGAGAACAACCAGTATGGTACCAAGGTTTTCATTGAACAACCTGGATGGGATTTAACTCCCCTTGAAGGTCAAGACCTTCGCAAAATGGATCCCATTTTGCAGTACTCGGAGATTGTCAGGATCATTCGAGATGTCTTTGACAATGTTGGGCCTAACTGGGCTGCCAACGATGCCAACAAGGCTGATGCTGATGCCTTTTTTACACCTGGTTTGATCCCCTATGCAGCCCATCGTGATTTGGGGTACCCTGTGGAGCTTGTTGTCCAGGAGCCTCAGCCTGTGGAACAAGCCCAGGCCAATGGAGAAGCCCAGTCAAATGGAGAAGAGCCTTAAGAAGGTTTTCTGGCAGCTGTGCAGGAATTGAAAGAAGTAAGTGAGATTGAGAAATAGAGATGATTTATGTTAGCTTTGGTCTGTGAGGTAACGTGATGTGTCTGCCAAGAAAATATATTTGTGTGAGTGTGCTTTCAACTACTGAAAAAGAACTGTCTAGGTAGATAGTACTGGCAATAACTAGTAGGACAAATTGCAACTACTCCGAGTGGGTGACTGTCTATTATTTGTAGTAAACACTTTTAGCTCAACTGTTTTATTGTTTTAATGCATTTGCCCTTCGTTTCACAGTGGCTGAGTATGAAATGTCTAAAGCAGGATTACCCAAATGTCGCAGCCAAGTCCAGTGGCCAAACAGACGCAGCAAAGAGTTCCTTTCAGTTCCCCACAACAACAATACCTCCACCATGGATGCCAACACCAACAACCATGGCGCTGCTGCAACAAAGTGTCACCAATGCTCTGAAGCCATTAACACTTCTTCCAATATTGATAACAGTGCCATCTCTAACTATCTAGCACCTCCAGATCAAGTCAAAGCTTACTGTTGCTATGAGTGCCTTGCTCTCAATGTTCGTCATGCCCAAGAAGAAATCGACCATTGTAGGCAATATGGTTATCAGTACTTTCAGCTCAACCCAGGTGATCTCTCAAAGAAGCTCTGTGATATCAGCAATTTCCATGCTGCCAAAGGCAACGTTGTGTGCCATTTCGGCCAAGACACCGATGTGAAAATATGCAGAACAACGACTGGCTCCATGTATTGCACGTCCGAGGAAGGACCCAAGCGAATTCAACTTCATTTTAAGCCTTCTACGAGTAACTCTGAGATTCCACTTCTTGTACAAGAAATTCTATTGACTCAGTCGGGCCTTACGAATCATTTTCTGGTACAAGGCATCAAAAATAAGCAATACGATGCATTTATGGATGAGTTTTTTGCTGGTGCCACAGCTCGGATCTGGTCCATCATGAATTCTGTTGTTTGCCCATATGCACCATTCGAGCATTGGCGCCCTCTTCGGTCTCCCAACCACTATCGAACTTGGTGGTTCCTTCCAAGTGCATATGTTGAGTCGATTCCACTCCAGTCTTTTACGATCAATAGTGGCTCTATTGCCATTGAAATCCACTATGGCACAGGTGTCTACCAAACCATTATTGTTCAAACAATCGAGTAGAAATTAGTTTAGGAGTTATTGTTTAAATCGTCTATTTCTCCTGCAGCAACAGGTGCAAATCCATTGAGCACATGATCTCCAGGAAGTTGGTCTTGTTCAGCATCAGCCGCAGCATGGACTGTTACCCCAAGCAAACAGTAAGAAAATATCATCCTTGTTGACAGCACTGATAAGACCATCACAACGTCTTTCCACAAAGCAAAAAGACGTGTTATGTTCGAATGCGTTGCCAAAGAAGTGGTGACCCAATCCATGTTTAATTGGCATGGCCAAACCAAGGCCATGCATTGTGAAATACTGGTGGATTGCATATTGGTCACTAGCTTCACGGTCTTTGAATATATGCTGCCACGCGCAAGGTGTGGGGATGACTTGTTCAACAATAGCTCGACACCCCTGCAATTTCACAATGATGCCAATGAACTTGTAACGCTTGCTCACAAAAAGAGCACCTCTCAAATTGCATCTCATTTTGTGATGGTTTTCATTGGCTACACAAACTATGCCTGCCTCATCAGCAAATTCAAACTCGAAATCATGTGGTGTGTACCTTCCATATAGTTTCTCAATTCCAATGGTGCCATTCTGGTCAACATACACTATGGTCTCAGATCCAGCCACTCTGACTTTGTTTTCACCAATCCTGACACAGTCCCCGCGCCTACAAAACGCAGTTTCCATCACCAGTCCTCGGTTACTCATCCTGTACCAGCAGCCTTCTCTGATCCCTGATATGCTTCTAGATTGGTTGATTTGAGACAGGGATTACTAGTAGTAACACCACTTCGAAGTTGTTGTCTTTTAATAAAATAGACCACCAATGACAGCATCAGTAGCATCGAGTAAAGCACTGGCTGTGATGAACTCAGTGCTTTACTCCAGTCGAGTAATCGAGTAATCCAGTAATCGAGTAATCGAGCAATTGAGTAATCGAGTAATTGAGTAATCGAGTAAACGAGTAAACAAGTAAACGAGTAAACCACTGGCTGTGATGCACTGACTGCAGAGTAAAGCACTCATCACTCGTGATCTTTTGATAGCATCAGTAGCATCGAGTAAAGCACTGGCTGTGATGAACTCAGTGCTTCACTTGAGTCGAGTAAAGCACTGACTGTCAGCTCGTGATTGCTGCTGGTGCGATCCAAGATCCACCAGGATCAGGCCTCAGGCCGAACCTTTCTGCCCTAAATTGCCTCGTGAGCCCAGCCAGATCTTTACCTGTTTTCTAGGGTTAGGGATTCGAAATCTTTTGCTTCGTCGCTTCATCGCTTCGCTCTTCGTCTGCTTCTCATAACCCCTCGAAGAGCTATCATCCACCTTCTTCTGCTTCTCATAACCCCTCGAAGAGCTATCATCCACCTTCTTCCCGTCTCCTTTGAACTACAGTTGTCCATGTCAAACCCATCTCCAACCACCACTCAAGACCCCATCAGTAGCTCTAGCAAGAAGCGCGATGTGCCCGAGACTCTTCATACCAAAGAGTCGACCAAGCTCTCCAAGAAGGAATCGTTGGGCAAAGCCAAACTGTCATTGGAAGATCCTCGCATTTGGAAGCCCTTGGCATTGAGAGCGGCTACCTTCCTTCCCCTAATTTGGGCCGCTTACTTCTTTTGACAAATAATAACTGGATTGATCCAGCCATCAAGGACAACCATGAAGAAGATGATGATGTTTGGAAATATCTCTGCCTCAACCACTGGGGCTGTGGTGCCGCCAATGAGCTGCTTCAAGCCACAGAAATGACACACAAAAGCTGCTTCCTCACTTTTGCCTATCTAACCCCAAGCCACAATGTACTGGTTCCTTTAGCTCCACCAGCATATGCACCCAAAGACTATTTGATGATTGTGGATATTCGCACCATGGACGACCAAATCCTCTTTTCCAAGGCTATCCCAGGCAACGACATTCCTGAATTCTTTTCTGAGGGAGAGATTGAATCAATCCACCTGCAAGAAACTCTTTTGGGTTTTCACAATTTTAAAGGCTCATTTTCAAGCTACCAACAATTCTATGACGTCCAGTTTCCACCTCACCGGGGCCTCAATCCTCGCCTTATCGGTGCCCAATGGAAGGGAACAGTGCACCTAATGAGGTTGCCGGACAGGAAGGTCATCCAATTGGTAGAAGTTCCTCAATCTGATGAAGAGATGGGCCCCCCAGAAACAGATGAAGACAAAAGCCAAATTTTGCAATCTTACAATTGTGGTGCTAATCCAGAATTAGCAACGGGCAAACGGACCACTCGCTGTTTCCACATACCTGCATACAAGATTGTTCATCTTTATGTGAGAATGGGGGCATGGAGACGAGCCTAACAATGCAATACAAAGTGAAGCTGTGTGGATCTAAGGTGTCACTTGGGATTCATGGCTTCTGCGTTGGTGTTACCCTCTGGGAAATGGGAAATGCTGAACCAATCAGCATGATTCTTCGAAGGAAAGGCTTGCAATTTGCACAAGTTCTAGAGGCTTTGCCAGAGTGGCCATTGGCTCCCAACCAGCCACAGCAGAAACCCGTCTCCTTTGATCTACAGTTCGCCATGTCGAACCCATCTCCAACCACTCAAGACCCCATAAGTTGCTCTAGCAAGAATCCTGGTATGCCCGAGGCTCATAGCAATGAGTGGACCAAGCACTCCAAGAATGATTCGTTGGACAATGCCAAACCATCAGTGGAAGATCCTGGTATTTGGAAGCCATTGGCATTGAGTGGCTACCTTCCTTCCCCTGATTTGGGCCGCTTGCTTCTTTTGACAAAGAATCATTGACCCAGCCATCAAGGACAACCATGATGACAATGAAGAAGGCGATGATGTCTGGAAATATCTCTGCCTCAACCACTGGGGGTGTGGTGCGGCCAATGAGCTGCTTCAAGCCACAGAAATGACACCTAAAAGTTACTTCCTCACTTTTGCCTATCCAACCCCAAGCCACAATGTACCCGCTCCTTTACCTCCACCAAAATATGCACCCAAAGACAATGTGTTGATTGTGGATGTCCGCACCATGGACAACCAAATCCTCTTTTCCAAGGCTATCCCAGGTAACGCCATTCCTGAATTCTTTTCTGGGGGAGAGACAAAGTCAATCCACCTGCAAGAAACTGTTTGGGGGTTCCACGATTTTGAAGGCTCATTTTCCAGCTACCAACACTTCTACGACGACCAGTTTCTACCTGGCAGCTATGCTGACTTTTGCCTTGGTACCCATTGGAAGGGAACAGTGCACCTAATGAGGTTGCCGGACAGGAAGGTCATCCAGTTTGTAGATGTTTCTGAATCGGATGACGAGATAGGTCCACCAGATTCAGATGAAGATAAAAGCCAACACATCTTGGTGACTTCCCTCATTTCGAGTGGTTGCAAGTCAGAATTGGCTACGGGCCGATCAGACCAGACATTGTTTCCACATATGGGCATACACGATTCTTCATCTATATATGAAGATGGGGGCATGGAGACGTGCCTAACCATGGAATACAAAGTGAAGCTGTCTGGATCCAACGTGTCACTTGGGATCCATGGCTTCTGTGTTCATGTTACCCACTGGGAGATGGCATGTGGTGAGCCAATTAGTGATATTCTTCAGACGAAAGGCTTGCAATTTGCACAAGTTCTAGAGGCTCTGCCAGAATGGCAATTTGCTCCCATCCAGCCACAGCAGAAGCCCTGAGCAAAAGGGAGCTTAGTTGGGTGTGGCTTTTCTTGGAAGAAACTTCACGCTCAGCTGTTGTTTAGGATTGTTGTCTGTACTGGTAGAAGCCGGTGATGTAGGTAGACATGAATAGAAAGTGAAGGCATCAATCTCTCCTACTAGCTAGCTAGAGCCAATGTTATGCTGCGAGACATAACGGATACACACTGATAGTAGAATAAGGACAGACCACCTGAGCAAGGGCTGGAGGTGCACCTCTTTTTGCCTTAGCTTAGGTGGCAGAGGCCTACCGTATTCTACGTTATGGAGAAACACAAACATGGGTACCGGTAGGCCGTGGCGCACAGCCACATTCCGGGTGGCACATGCGTACGGTAGAGAGCAACCGTTGTTGCCAAGACAGGAGTAGGTCCTCAAAAGGTAGGTACGGCAGGTGACCCAAACGAACTGGCCTCTCAAATCAATCCCTGCGCGGAAGGTAGCTGGGAAAGCTGCTAGCTAGCTAGTCTAGGAAGGTGTTAGCTGAGCCTGTTGCATTAGTGGTACAGTACCGACACCGCATGCATGCACGCAAGATATCTCGCAGCTCCCAGTGATATCTTTCGCAAGTTGGTTGGGTGCAGAGAAATGACGGGAAGAATCAGTGAGGTCTTTCTCTCATTGTCTTTTTCTTCAAAAGGTCATTGTGTTGCTTTGGAGTAAGAGTGCGACGTTTTGCATTCCTACGTCACCTCGTAGCTAACTGGTCTGGCAAACTAGGATTCTTGGCGGTGGCATCTCACTCATCATCCGCTTCCTTGGCCATGGTGGTTCACTTTTGTTGGGTTTCCAGTAGTAGCACCTTGTAGAGCTCCCTTATCTATTGTCTTCTTCTTGCTTTGTTGGTGAGGAAGAATCCATCTCCTCCATCAGTCAGAAGTCAAGGTGATAACAGGAGTCAATCCACAAGAGAACTCGGATACCCCTATCTAGCTACCGGTAGCTAGTTGAAAAGCATTCGACAATCTTCGAAGAGTCGAGTCACTTCACTTATCTTTCATAAAAGTGCCTCTATTCAAAGCTCGACTGACAGTGCAACATGGCATCTACGAATCCCTCTGATCAGCCATTGGCCTCTGAAGAAAAGCAGGCAGATTTGTTGGACATGAACGAGGGCGAGACCACTACTGCTACCCCTGATGAAGTGGATCCTGATCTGCTGGATCCCGAGACGGCTCGCACGGATACCGCCGCCGACGAAGTGGATCCGGATCTATTGGACCCGGAACTTGCCAAGGACGATGTGAATGCAGCAGATCCCGACCTTTTGGATCCGAATGATGCCGATGAGGCGGATCCGGATCTCTTGGATCCCAACAACAGTACTACGGCTCCTGATCTCCTGGATCCAGAGGCTGCTCGAACGGACCCACAAGAAGGTGTTCCCGTGGCGCCTGGCGAAGGAGATTTCGTCGATGATCCCGACGATGACGACGAAGAAGCAGCCAAGGCACAGGCACGTGGCATGGCCACTCCTCCCACGGACGATGAGGATGATATCGAAGACTTTAGTACTCCCTTTGAAGACGAGGGAGGGTTCGATGACAAACCCGACGATGACAGTGTGGAGCTCTTTGACGATGAACTCGTGGACGATGACGACGATGAAGCCGCCCCACTAGCCGATAACAAGGACGGCAAGAAGAAAAAGAAACGACGCATCTTTACCAAGTTCAAGAAAAAGCCCAAGGAAGAGAAGGAACCCTCCAAGGCAGAAAAGCGTCGTCGCCGACGAGCCATTTGTTTGCTCATCTGCTGCTGTTGCCTCATCTTGTTGCTCATCCTTCTATTGATCTTTTTGGTCTTCAAGAAGGATACCACGGACGATACGGTCGATGATGATGGATACGTCGACGATGGATTCGTCGATGACTTTTTCGGATTTGGCGACGGATTGGTCCCTGACAATGTTCAGACCACACCATTTGATCCCTACGTCAAGGGAGACTGTGATTTCTCCGACAACTTTCAACCCCATGCCATTTCCCAGTGCGAATGCTATGGCAAGATTACGGTGGTGGCCGATGACATTCGCGAGCTCTACACCCTCCTCAAGACCCGGCTCATGCCCGAACTCTACTCCACTTCCGAGGACGGCGAGGGCTGGACCGAACCCATTACCAGCTGCGATCCCCGTAACCAGGCCCTCTTGTGGTTATCCAGTGGAGATACCCGTCGGTCGGGTGATCTGGTTCAAAGGTTCTTGACGTCCACTGCGTTCATTTCCATGAACGGAACCAAGTGGGATTATAAGAATCTATGGTTGTCGGATCAAAACGAGTGTCTCTGGCTTGGATTGCAATGTAACAAACGGTTCCAGATCCATTCTCTGGCTTTGGATACCATCAATATTTTCGGAACAGTACGTTGATTTAGAAAGACAGAAAGAAAGATGTACAACTTCGATCTGCATTGAAGACTCGTTGTCGTCGACGACGATCTCACTTACCTCTTTGGCTTTCTCCCTTATACTAGGTTCCCTCCGAAATCCGTCTCTTCCGTGGCCTCACGACCTTGTCCATTACTCGTTCCCACATCACCGGGCAAATTCCAACCTATATCTTTAGCATCCCGAACTTGAGAGATTTGCGATTCTATGCCAACCAAATGACGGGGAGTATCCCCTCCGAAGTCGGTCTTGCCACGGCCTTGGAAGTCCTCAAGCTGGAGAACAATTGGATGTATGGAACACTCGTGTCAGAGTTAGGTTTGCTTACCAACCTTCGATCATTATCCCTTGGTTTCAATCAGTTCATTCGACACTTGCCGACTGAACTGGGAATGTGGACCAAGCTTACTTCACTCGTCCTGGAGGACAATCGCATTTCGGGAACATTCCCAACTCAGATGGGACAGTGGACGGCCCTCGAAAAGTTGCTCATGACAGAAAATCTCATGACGGGAGGTCTTCCAACGGAGATTGGTTTCATGACGAGCATGAGGGACGTTCGTTTGGCGGATATCGGAATGCACGGACCCATTCCATCGGAAATCGGCCTGTTGACGGACCTGAATCGTTTGGATCTCGGAGAGCAGCACTTTTCAGGAACCATCCCCACCGAGACGGGACAACTCTCCAATATGTACTTTTTGGCGCTTTTGAAGAACGACCTGACAGGGCCAATCCCCACGGAGTTTGGCAAGCTCACCAACATGACTCGTCTGGACATGCAGGAGTTGCACTTGGAAGGAGCTCTGCCCTCGGAAATCGGTGAAATGAGTCTGCTCAGTAAGTTGCACCGTTGGCTTTGTGAGATCCCGTTTCCGCTCGTTCCTAGCTAGAACAAAATACTTACAATCCGTCTGTCTTCATCTTCTTTCGTCTGCAGAGGATTTTGCCCTCGACGAAAACGATATTATCAGTACTATACCTCCTGAAGTGTGTGAGCTGAGAGAAAAGAAATTGGCAAAGTTGATTGTGGACTGTCCAACCAAGAATGGGCGAGGTGTTGGTAACTGGACTGACCATACCGAAAATGGCCTTGACGATTTGCTTGCAGTGGAAGGCAACTGTTTTACCATCTGTAGAAAAGGCGCCTAGCAGGCATCTTCAACTCCCTTTTCGGGGAACCAAATTTCTAATAAAAAGGGAAAGCAACTTAGAGAAAACTCTACAAAGAAGTAAAGTGCCTCTAGAGGCATTGATAGTTAACCATACATATTTTTATTGACAAGCACGAGAAAAGACTGTTATGAAAAGTATGTTCGTGTGAATTACCGGGAGTCACACCAAAAACCCAGGAAATACAAAGTGCTGCTGCACTCTCCCCGTGGCTGTTCACTTGCCAAAAAAGTTTTCGTCGAAGTTTTCTGCTGCTTGCACGGCAACTTCTCCTCCTGGTGGCTCCAGCCCGGTCAGTTCCGGTGAGGCCGAGGTCGAGGCCGCCCAGGTACTGTTCATGGTTCCATCAATCGTTCCGTTCAGGGTTC